TCTTTTACGTAATGTCTTGCTTTTCTTTTCTTTTCTTTTTTTTTTCTTTTTTTTTTCTTTTTCTTAATAAAGGGGGTGGCGTGAGAGGCGTCGTTTTCTGTTGTTTCCCTCTGGTCATTTCTTTGCAACGGAAAATAAACTTATCGTGGTTGGTGGCCACAAGGACGCCATTTGGCGTGGACCGAAGTCTTTTAATGGCGCCGACACCATTGCAAAAGCTGCTACCGCATGGGAAGTACTCATGTATCTTAATATGACTCTTTGTGTAGATGAGGCTTTTTCTGAATTAGCCGCCTTTGCACCAACACTTGTGGCTATTTTACCCCCAACCACAGAAGGTGTCGGTGATTGGATATTTGTAGAGTCTGTAGAGAATAGACCCATAATAGAGAAACTCTTCTCACAGTTGCAGCAAACCAGTGCCAACACAAATGGTTATAATGAAGTGATGGACTCCGCCTTGTGGTTTGTTTGTTTAATTGATGTAACGGCAACATTGCGTAAGCCGTGTGTAGCTGATTTTAAACTTGGATTTGTACGTCATTCTCCTCAAACCCCAGAAGAGAAACTGGAACGTATTCGAAAGAAGCGATTTTTACAGCCGCATGCACTTCGTCTTTGTGGAGCTCATCACTATGTATACCGTCATGGTGTTAATAATGAAAAGGATTTAGAAGTAGAGTGGTGTGAAAAAGATATGGGGTACGCTTTAGAAACAGAAGAAGATTATCGTCGTGTCCTTCATGCCTTTTTTTCATCCACGAAAAGTATGCACTCAGGTGAAACAGTGAAATCAGCTAATAATAATAATAATAATAATAATAATAATAATAATAATAGTGATGTATTCCATATGGAAGCACGGTTACAGTCGTGTCGTCGAGGTGTGGAAAAGTTGTTCTCTCTTTTCACTTCTTCTGTTGGTCGTGCGCTGTTGGAGAAAACAGCATTTGTTTCAACGTCCCTTCTTTTAGTGTATGATGCCATTGATGGCGAAAAGAGTGATGCTTCTTCAGATAAAGGTGATAAAGTTTTTGTCTACTTAATTGATTACGCGCGTTCAAGTGATCGTCGGTTAAACTATACGGAAGAGACTATTGGATTTGTGCGTGGGATGGAGAGCTTAATACGGTTTCTTTCATGAAAAAAAAAAAAGTTGTAATAAACAGTACGGTGAATTATTATTATTATTTTTTTTTTTTTCTATGAGTAATTTTCTCTCTCTCATTCTTCTTCTTTTTCTCACTCTCACTCACTTACTTATTCTTTTTCTCATTTTCCTCTTCTCTCTCTATTTCTCTCAGACTGACTGGCACTCCCATGCAGACTAAAGAAACCCACACCGCCGCCCATTTCCTCTCCGTCTCCACCTTCACAACAGACGGGGGCCTCACCCGCTCAACTGCCATCGACTCCAGCGTCTCTCACAAGCGACCATCAACTCAACAACAACAAAGAGAAGAAGAAAAGGAAAGAAATGGTCGAGCACCGCTGAATATCATGACATGCGTGGGTGAACTTCCATCAGTCTGGCACACATCCACAATAACAACAACACAAACACTGCCCGCACGTATCGTTATTGATGAAAATGATCATTTCTGGCGTCCTTTGTTATTATACCAAGAAGAACAAGAACAAGAATTATCTCCATTGTCTCCACCGTCCCCTTCAGCGATCTCTTTCTTTAATGAAGGGCGAAGTCAGACAAGAAGATCGCACAGGGGTGATAGTGAAACGAGACACCGTCGGTTGCCGTTACTTATGGATTATATGGGTTAGTTAGCATAATAGATTAAAAAAAAAAAGTAAAATGATGGATCAGCTTTTTTTATTTCTTTTTTATTTTTTTGGTTTTATATCGTGTTTCTATTTATTCCACGAAGATCATTTGTTTTTCTTTTTTTTTTTGCTATCTACTTGACAGAACGCTACTGTGTAATGCAGTGAGCTCTGTATTTTCAGTTTTACTTATTAGAGTCTCATTTCTTTTTTTTTTTTTTGAGTTGCTGGCTTTCATTTTTCAGCCAGTATAGTGTGTACATTTATTTGTGGATAATAGGGAAAGTAGTTTCCAGAAAGTATTTTTGTTATTCTCTAGGAAATACGTACACCTTTTATATAATATGTTTATTTATTTCTATACAGTGTGGAAGGGTGTCTCTTTGTATGTTTATCTGTGTGGGACAGCCTTTCTGTATAAATAGATCGAAAAGTACAGTGAATTTAAACTGTTTCTTTATTAATTTTTTTGCTTTTTCTTTTTTATTACTGTATTGAATGACATTCTACTATTTTTGCGCAATATCGTGTAGAGTTGATTTCTAACAAGAGTTAACTACCAGTTTTTTCAGTATTCTACTCCCTCTATTTATTTATTTATTTATATTTGGTTATTCTTAACTGCCGCGAGACGGTTTGCGTTTTTTTTTTTTTTTTTCACAATATTTAAAAATCATTCACTTTTTTTTTCTTTGTGAGGAAATGAAATACACATGTAATAAATATAATTATAAAAAACAAAATGATTTTAATAAGGGATGGATAAATATAATAATGGGGAATGGGAGGGGAAATGTTGTTTATTTTTATTTTATTTTTTTTTTCCTAATTGGCTTTCCTCTGAATTTTTGTATATATCTGTCTCTGTTTAGAACAAAAACAACCTTCTTCTTTTTCTTTTTCTTCTTTATATGTATGTATGCTCAGCGAAGATAAGAGGAACAGGTCTCTGCCCGAAGGAGAGTAAAAAAGAGAAGAAAAAGAGAGAGAGATCACAGAAAGGGTGGTAGAACTTCTCATTTTCTTAAACAAATCCTTACCCATATCTATCCATATATATATATAATAAAGAAAAAAAAAGGAAAGATTGATTGATTGATTAACGTGATAGGTTCTAGTTATCATGACCACTTCTCTCTCCTCCACACCCGCCCTGCAGCGCCGCTCTACACATGACAGTTCCATTGGGCCCGTCAGCAGCCGCTCTTCTGTTCTCGTTCAACAAGACTCCGAATTGGACCCAAGAGCCGCAGCCATCGCACGTGTGCCTATCTACGTAGATATCCCAGATGCCACTCTGCAGACAATTATGAATATTGCCGTTGAGGCGTATAGTAAGTTTGTGTTGCTTCCCACACGAAATACATGGAGAAAAGAGGAGGGATCTAGAAAGGAATTAGAGAGGGAAATTGAGCGTACTGTGGTGCGGGATATTGCACAGATGATTAAGAAGAATGTAGAGGCTGCATTAGGTGGAACATGGCATGTTGTGTATGGACGTTCCTTCGCCACTTATGTGACTCATCAGAGACGTTCATTCTGTCATTTTCAATTAGATGGTGCTAATGTTGTTGTATGGCGACATGGTGGTTAGTTGCTTCT